GCAATGTGAACCACCACTCAACTCTGGATGAGACCAATAAAATCGAAATCCTGATCGTGAGGACAATTCCGAGCGGTGGATGCGCGAACATGCGCAGTAATGTTCGAATCTTATGAAAATTATTCGAAGATTCCAATAACAACAACAACAACTTCAGGGTATGACAGAAATTGAAAAGCTCACAAAGTAACTCACAGCAGCAAGATGAATGGTAAAGTATTCGAACAGCACAAGCAACTTACCACCATAGGCGTTTGCAGACGAGTGATTAATACTCGATGACGTTGCGAAGTGTTGACGCCTTCCAGAAGACGACTGAGTAGTGGCAGCGTTACCCATCTGGTCTTCTGGTTTCGGTTATTCGGGCAAAAATATACTCGCGTACAATATTCTGCTGGTTGTGTGGCGTCAATTTCAGTGGTGTTTTGGATACGACACGGTAAATGAAGGCACGATTCAATGGAACTGGTGGTGCAAAGGCGGTTGTGGAAGATGAAGCGATAGCTGGAGTCGCTTCCGATAATCGACGATAAAATGCCTTCGATTATTTCTGTGGGTAATATAAGGTTTCACACTTGTCGTTAGAAACCCAAATCAGAATTCCATCTACCAATTTGTTCTTTGTAACTCAGCAATTCGTCACTTCCAGATGAATACCAGCGCTGATCAGATGAACATCAGAATGTTTATCCGCTTGCTAGCCGTATCGCTCGCTGTTTAGTGATCTTTTTCTCGGTTGACGTATAATTCAAATGAATCAGTTACTTCTTCTTAAAAGTAACACTCTATCACTGTTATTAGTCCTTCTCTTATTGTCCAATCGAACGTAGACTCAGATGGTCCGAAACTAATAAGAGAATATATTGCCGTTGTGAAAACAAAATAGAAGTGGCAGAGCAATAGTTCAANAATATTCATTTGTGACATTGATTTCGTCGTACGTAAATCGCTTTGTGACAGACATATCGTTTCATAAATCGTTACATAAGGCGCTCTTGTTCACGTAAAAGAAATCAACGCAAAAAGGTATTCATTCATTCAGTTCAACATCGAATGTAATCCAGCAATAAGTATGAAATGCCGAAACCAGTGCTTACTATATTACAAGAGTAAACTGCTGTTGCAATTTGCAAATGAGAAACAGTAACGAACGTTATCAATTGGGGAATCATGTCAAAATCATGCCATTTTGATAGCACTATCGGTCATCATTCTTCTTCTTTGATCATATCAAGAAAGTGCTCGTATAGAATATCGATGCATAGAGAGAACTCCTTCTTTCTTACACTGATCATCGTTTGCAAGTGATCATCCTATCACTTTTCGGAGAAATTAATCGATACAATGTTCTCTGGCGAGAGCCAATTTCCTAGTATGAGACATCACCTAATGCTTTTTCTAGAGTGAATCATATCATGACACAAAACAAAATTTCGCATCTCTTTGATAATTATAGTTACAAGTGTGATATTTCCAGATGTTTTCAGAATTTTGATACGTGGTAAATTTGTGATAGTGACCAAAATCATATGGAATCATTATGATCTGAGATAGATTTGAAGTTGTCTTGAAAGAGAAACCTTCGAATTAGCCGAAAGAGTCATTAAGCGAGCACATTAGCAACCTAATCATAACACTTTCATTCTACAATGAACTAATTCATTTTGAAGTAAACAAAAGCACGGAAACTTCACCGCTCATCAACGGTATTCAGACGACAGGATTCAAAACAGATCACTAGTAGCTTCGAGCATTCATTCGAAAATTCATCCTGAAATGATTATAAGCGCAAAATTTCTCAGTCAAATCTCAATACTCGTCTGAGCTCCTATAGTAATAAGAACTAGAAACTGCTGAAAACTTAAACATCGAAGATGAACAGCACTCAAAAATGAACGCAGCTTAGCACTGATTGATATCGAGAAGAGCGAGTAAACATTAGACTCATCCATAACCAGTTGATCGAGAAAATGGTTTTCGTGATAGATAGATGGATGGATGGATGGTTGGCTGGATTTATGCAGTTTAACGCTCAATCCTGCTGTTGCTGCTGTTATCACTGAAGCTGTCCGTTTCACTTAGCTCAGTGACTAATGTGTCTATACGCGCAAGCAACAGCAACAACGATAAAAGCAAAACCCGTATTAACGATTCTGTATTAACATGATCTTTCTTAAGTGCCATGCGCTGCGATTCAACATAATCATCCAATCGAAATTCATCTAGAATCAAGAATTCGGGTCTCATTTGAACTGGTAAAGCATCATCTCCATACGAAAACTTCGGAAGAGTGCCACACAAACGTGTTTATAACCCTTCTCCATCCCACTACGTGAGGCATGAGTGGGGCTCAGAGGATGGTAGTTTCTGAAGGATTTCTTGTGAAGCAGCTAAGACGGTTCATACGAAAGCTTTTCGACCAGAAAGCAAAACAAGAATTTCACGATAGAAGCGACTGGAGCGTAAGAATAAACTAGAAATTTGAAATGTCTATCAGAAAACTTGAAAAGGATTTTTTTGCGAACGTTTCGAGCAGCTCTCACGTTAGGAATGCATCACAACCCTTGCTTATGCTTCAAGATGAAGCCGCTGTCTATTGCTTACTTTCTTGC